CTGTCAAGCACTCAAAACCACAGCCAATCCAAGTTGACACACAATCTTAACTACTGCAGTCTCCTATGCATTTCTTGGCCACTTACTTGACATCTCCAAAGGCACAAAGAGGGACAGTAAGGCTGAATCTCCTAAACAGCTAACTCATTGCTGCTGCCATTATTGCTATTGTTATCATTTTCCTCCATTGAATGCTTTGCAGTTTATATGTATTTCATAGTCACTTATTTACTCATAAGTAATTCTTGCTAGTGTTGATTAAGGATGAACATTACACTGGATGAACCCCTGGACCTAATGCCCTGAGAAAATCTTTAAGCCTAAAATCTTAAAACAAAAATACCCACAGAAGCTTTTTGTAAACCAAACAACAATCTAACTTAACTAATAAAGAATGTCTGCCATTAGCATTGTGCTCTTTTAAAGAACTTTCTATATGGGATCAAACTGACAAAAGCAGCTTGAAAAGTTAGATTAGAAGCTTAGGGGGCAGTGAGTTTATGTCAATAGGAGAGGAAAAAATTAGAAAAGGATGGTAAGAATGGCCAGTCTATTTGAACGGTCACTTTATTTTACATGAAGAAATTGTTGACTTGATGTATGTTTTGCTGTGTATATGTTCAACAATCATTAAACAGACAAGATGAGCCTCTTAGGGAGATAGAGAAAAGCCAGATTAAGCCAGACCTGATAAGCCATGTTGGTCTTTATCCTAAGAGCTGTTTCTAAGGAGGGCACTTAACACGTTGATTTATGATTGGCATTTCCATATGACAGTTTTCAGCAGGGGAAGACTATGCTGACATTCATATGCTACTGTATTATTTTATTTACTTCACTGAATGTTGGAGTTAGTTCATAATTAAGTTAAACATTTTAAAAGGAAAAAAAAAAAAAAAAAAACCTCTGGCAGCTGAAGGGAGAATGGATTGGGGGGTGAAGGCTAGATATACAAAGATCCCTGGGAGCTGCTGCAGGGCCCCAAAGAGAAATCAGGGCAGCATGAACTAGGGTGGATGATGGTAGAGATGGAGAGAACAGGTTTAGTAGCAAATAAGGAAGTGATTGCCTGGGCCTGGGGAGGGATGAGAGGTAGGATGAGAGGTGTGAGGTGGTTTTCTCAGACTGGTCCTGACTAGGGTCTTGCGGTATAGTAAATAACGTCATATGGTTTTTCTAGCCATTGTCTTTGTAACTCCCACCAGATTACTAGGTGGGACCAAGCAATTTAAACTCCTGATTGTTAAAGTTATCCACTTAGGGGTTTTCTCTTGGAGCAGCATGAAGTAATTTCCTGGGAAGTTCACTCTCTCAGGTATGTAGAATTCTGATATTGGGATTGGTTAGTTTTGCCACTCTGTCAGGTTTAAAATGAGTCCTCCAAGAGGCAGAAAAGAATTTCTCACTGCTGGCTGAGGTAGATGCACTGCTGAGAGGGTGAGACATGCTGCTGAGAGAGAGACCCACTGCTGAGAGACCTGCTGCTGAGAGAGATGTCCAGCTGAGAGAAAGTGGCAGTGGAACCAAGAGGCACAAGACAGAGTGGCAGGCTTACCTGGCCCACAGAAGCAGAGGCCAGACTGAGAAGCCAAGGGCCAGAGAGGTGTGTCTAAGGTCACAGCAGAGGGGAGACTGTCCTGACTGAAGAACTATATCCTGAGTGTGTTCCTGAATTTGAATTGTAGCCTGTTGCTTTCTCCAATAAAGCCCATAATCTGTGAGTTCTGGGTGGCCACTGCAGCAAATTATCAAACCCAGCAGAGAGGTGGTGGGTGCTGTAGGAGGGACAGTTGGTGTCAAGGTTGGTAAGAGAGCTGGAGGGTGGTGGCATGTCTGGCTTCATAAGAACAGGACTTGGGCTGCTGATGGGAATTCTGTCTTCCTGCTGTGGAGTTAGAGGAGGTCAGAAGATGCCACCTCCTTGCCCCTTTAGCTGGTCTCTTCATGCGCTCCCAAAATACGGTTCACTCCTCTATGTCAGGAGTTTTAAGTTTTCCTTAAGATTTGAGGATAGAAGATAGAAAACATGGGATTTAGATTTTAACATTTTTACCTTAAGTTCTCCCATCCTTTCCTGGATAGTAGAGAGGTCAGATGAATGGCTGGGGTCCTGCCCTTGTAGGATTTCTTCAGCTTCCACAATCCATGCTTCCAAACCTTCTAAACTCTTGGCAAATGTTTCATAGTCAAGAACCCCAGCCTTTATTTTTTCCACAAAAGAAAATTGGTGTTTAGTAATCTAGTGGAAGAGTGACCATTAAAATTATGTTTTATATTCTGATATCAAATTGTCTTTCTCAAGATGCCATTCATAAGGAAGAAAAACAAGGCTACAGTAATTTTTCTTCTCTTTATTTTTCTAAAATTTAGAATTATTTCTAAGTTCCATTAGCCAATTAACCAATTAATATTACTTGTTAGATACACTGTCAAACAACGTCTGAAAATATTCTGATTCTAACAAAAACTTAAATCATATAAACATGAATATTAATGTTAAAGCCATCAGTGCTTAGTAACTAAACACATGCTACTCAGGACCATGGAGGCAGCCATTGGACTAAATCACACTGGAGAGAACAATACAGGACTCCCACGTCCCTTGTCTTCACTGCAACTGCCATTTACCCTTTTCAGAACCTGACTTCCAAGCCTGTTTATTTTTTAATTCTTTTGTCTTAAAGGCAGCATGATCTCCATGATGAAAATGCCTTCTCTTCCTGTGTTTATACCTCAACCATTACAGCACATCCAGTTTCTAACACCTACTGAGTATGAGCTCTGTACCTGTAATACAGTCTGTTGCTTGCAAAGAGCCTGTTCAAGGGCACATAAGTGTTGACTCAAGGAGAGTTGATCAGATTGAATGGCTGATGCAGCAGAAACATCCACTTGTTGCTTGAGTTGCTCTCCCAGCTCATGGAGAACAAAGAGGGAATCCTTAACTGTCCCTAGTCCTTTGAGGAGGTCCTAGAGAAGATGAAAATTTGGAAGTGCCAATCATAAATCAACATGTTAAGTGTACTCCTTAGAAACAGTGAACAGCAAAGGTTCAAACATCTAGAAGGACTCAAACCTTATTTGTAAAATTATTATATTAAATAACCTTCATTTAAAGAAAATATTGTCAAGAATTGACTATAATACTGCTTGAGCATTGAAATGACCACAGACTGCCTGAAGAGCTTCACACTTAGGCTCTTGACTCCAACCTCCGAGTTAGTGAGACTCCACAGAAAGTGCAGTCTATGCTTTCAGAATTATTCCCTCACTTCTAA